GGCGGGCGACGTCTTGGCGGCGTGCAGCTGCCGACGTCAACTTCATTGAGGCGCTTCTCGAGCTCGGCCACGCGCGTCGGCCTCGGCTCCTTCTTTGCACGGGGCGGTGCCGGCGTCTGGGACGCACACGGCTTCTGCAGGCGATGGCATCTAAAGGTGGCGGGGAAACACAGAGACGGGCGGTCAGTAAGCGACTCTCTGTTGTTGGCTTCGTCTTCGGTCTTGTTGAGGGCCCCCGTGGTGCGAGGCCAACGGAGCCGGAGACGGAGATGGCTCGAGGGACTCGGGCTCAGGGCCCAAAGGGGGGGGGCTTCTCACCTCTCACACTTGTCGCTGTGCGGCGGACCCGGGATACATCTTGACTTTGCCTTGGCACAAGTGGTACAGGCCTTGGGTCCCTTGTTGGCCGTCTGACCAGGATCCAAGTCTTCGGGTTCGGTGAGAAAGGTCATGGCGGGCTCCGAACTCGTCTGCTTTTCAGAGAGACATCAGCCACGAGGTTGCCGTCCAAAGTATAATGTGTCTTCTTCGATGGCACAGCTGTGTGACGAGACGAAAATAAAAATAAAAAGTCGAGACGGATTCGAATGACGAAAACCAGGGCATTCCCGTAATCGGCTCATCCGTCCAAGCGCTCGTCTCTTTTTTTCCCACTTCCCACTCCCAATTGTCATCAGGACATCCAGCCGCACCCTTCCTAGTGCTTCACGCGTGCCTCATGGCTTGGGGGAGTGCCCAGGAGGTCAGCGTGAGACAAGAGTCGTTGGTTCAACAGAGTAGAGGTCGCCGGCCAATGGGCGAGGTGCAATGTGCTCGATGTGGTGGTTGGGACGACGAGCTTTGCTCCGACTCCGTTGGGGACGGACCAAGTTTTGCCTCGTGGCTCCGTCGGGCTCACGTGATCTTCCTCCTTCAGCTCCTTCCCCAGCTACTGCCTTGGACCTGCCTTCGGTAAGGTGCCTCCTGCCTTGGACCTAGGCCTCCTGCCTTCGGTAAGGTGCCTTCGGTAAGGTGCCTCCTGCCTTGGACCTAGGCCTCCTGCCTTCGGTAAGGTGCCTCCTGCCTTGGGTAAGGAGGCTTAGGTAAGGAGGTACATGTAAAAGTAAAGGCACGTACCGATGACTGATCACGAACCCCGGCCGAGGCTTCTGTTGAACTACCAAACTCTCCTGCTGCTCCATGCACATAAAACGCTACACGAAATGTGACCGTGCCATCAAAAGACACGATGCATAGCGTCCCATCCATGACTTACTGGAGGCATGGAAGCCCGGCACCGCCCGACGGCAGCAAGTCACGTCGGTCCATCCCTTTGATGCCGAAATGTGGCCTCAGCAAGGTACAGGGACTAATCACCGCCTGCCTGAACAGCTCTACTATGGATCTTGACAGGTACTTGTTCGGCACATAGCTGTAGCGGGCAGGCCTTCCCATGATAAAGTCACGTACAGGCATATAGTTGCATTGCTCGTTCTATCCTTTAGTTCAATTGGCGACATCTATTTTCTGCCACTTGGCTGTCGATCATGTGAAGTACTGAGGCCAAATACGACGCGGGCTGGCAGGCTGGCGGGCTGGCAGGCTGGCAGGCTGGCAGGCTGGCAGTAGAAATGCATAAACGTTACGACACGGAGCATTCACAACCAAAGGCATCACGCAGCAAGGGGGACAAAAAGTGTGTGGCCTGCAACCTGACGGTGGCAGAACTGTGGCCCTCAGCGGGTGAGGGCCACATGTCATTTTATTCAAATCACCACCACAGCGGTAGCTGGATGGGACGGTACGCATCATATATGCATCCGTTTCGAAGAGAAAGTCGGGCCCTTGTCAGTCACGACGTGGGGCCCACAGAGCACAGGCAGAGCAAGCCAAGGCACGTCATGCAGCGAGTGCGTGCAACATGTGCCAATGCAACCTGCAAACGAACGGAGACGCAAAACGCCCCTGGCCTCAGCCCACACGCTACGCCGTGGCCTCGCGCGCGAGGAGAGCCTCGGTGAGACCCGCGGCGCCGTGGCCCGACGCCTTGATCTCGTCGACGGCGGCCTCGATGCCGAGCTGGCCGTCCGTCCACAGCGGCTGCTCGGTGGCGGCGCCCTCGGCCTCGCCGACGCCGATGAAGCCGCCCTCGGCAGCCCAGGCCGACGTGCGCTTGAGGTCGAGCTTGGTCCAGATGGCGTCGACGGCGGCGACGAGCTGGTCGCGGAACTCCTTCGTGTGGCCCGGCGTCGGCGTGATGCGCAGCCTCTCCTGGCCGACGGGCACGGTCGGGTAGTTGATGGACTGGACGTAGATCTGGTAGTCGCTGAGCAGCATGTCCGAGGCGCGCTTGGCGAGCTCGGCGTTGCCGACGAGAATGGGGATAATGTGCGACGGGTTCGGGATGACGGGAATGTCGCGCGCGCCGAGCGCCTCCTTGACGGCGCGCGTGTGCAGCTGCTGCAGGCGGCGGTCGCCGTTGTAGCCCATCTGGTACTCAATGGCCGTCTTGGCGCCGGCCATGGTCGCCGGCGGCATCGACGTCGTGAAGATGAAGCCCGGCGCCAGCGACCGGATCATGTCGACGAGCCGCGCGCTGCCGGCAATGTAGCCGCCGACGCAGCCGTAGGCCTTGCCGAGCGTGCCCGTGATGATGTCGACGCGGTCCTGGATCGTGCCGCGCGTGTCGCCGCCCCGCTTGTACGTCTCAAAGTCGAGGTGCTCGGCCACGCCGGCGCCGCTCGGGCCGTACATGCCGACGGCGTGCACTTCGTCGAGGAACGTGATGGCGCCGTACTTTTCGGCGAGGTCGCAGATGGCCTCGATGGGCCCGATCGAGCCGCACATGCTGTAGACCGACTCAAAGGCGATAATCTTGGGCACGTGCAGCGGCAGCGACGCCAGCTTGGCCTCGAGGTCGGCCACGTCGTTGTGCTTGAAGACAATCTTCTTGGTGCCCGAGTGGCGGATGCCCTGGATCATGGACGCGTGGTTGAGGCTGTCGGACAGGATGACGCAGTCGGGCATCTTGCTGCCGAGCGTCGCGAGCGTCGCGTCGTTGGCGACGTAGCACGAGCTGAAGACGAGCGCCGCCTCCTTGGAGTGCAGCTTGGCCACCGTCGCCTCGAGCTCGACGGCGTGCTTGTTGTGGCCCGAGATGTTGCGCGTGCCGCCGGCGCCCGAGCCGTACTCGTCGAGCGTCTCGTGCATGGTGCGCAGCACGTGGGGGTTGCGGCCCATGCCGAGGTAGTCGTTGGCGCACCAGACGGTGACACGGTCCTCCTTGTTGGCCATGTGCGCGCGCGGGAACTCCTTGGCGAGCCGGTTGATGTTGTTGAAGTAGCGGTACGACTTGTCCTTGTGCTTCTTCTCGAGCTCGGCGTTGTAAAAGGCGTCATAGTTGAACTTGGCCTGCGAAGCGTCCGAGATGGCGGCG